ATCTTCATCAACATGAATATCATCTTCACCACTACCATCACCATCACGTCCATCCATCAACACCATCACTGTCACCATCATCTCCATCAATAACAACACCATCCTCAGCACCACTACCATTATCATCTTCCATCAACATCAATACCATCTTCACCACTATTATTAGCATCACATCTCCATTCATCAACACCATCACTACTACCATCATCTCCATCAATAACAGCACCATCCTCAGCACCACTATCACCATCAACCACCTTTATCACTGTCACTTCCATCAATAACAACACCATCCTCAGCACTACTACCACCATCATCTCCATCAACATCAATACCATCCATCTTCACCACTATTATTACCATCATGTCTCCATTCATCAACACCATCACTATTGCCACCATCTCCATCAATAACAGCACCATCCTCAGCACCACTATCACCATCAACCACTTTTATCACCGTCACCTCCATCAATAACAACACTATCCTCAACACCACTATAGCCATCAACACCACCACCCCCTCACCACCTCTATCACCATCACATCAATAACAATGTCTTCCTTATAGCACCATTATCGTCATCATCTCCATCAACACCACCACCATCTTCACCACCTCTATCATCATCATCACCTCCATCAATAACAACACCAACCTCACCACTCTATCATCATCATCATCTCCATCAATCACAGCACCATCTTTACCACCATTGCAATCACCACTGTCCTCAGCACCACTATCACCATCACTTCCATCAACACATCACTGTCCTCACTGCTTCTATCATCATCATCATCTCCATCAACAACACCACTGTCCTCACCACCCTATGACCATCACCCTTGTCCTCACCACTCCTATCACCACCCATCTCCATCCACATCACCTCCATCAGCACCATAACTACCCTCACCCTCACTTCCATCAGCATCACCACTTCTGTCACCTTCACTTCCATCCACACCATCCCCCCTCTATTATCCCCCCCATTACTCAGCACTGTCACTGCTGTCTCTGCATCATCATACCCTCTCAGTCTGAACTGACGGAAGAGTCGTCTAGGGCAGGAGGAGGGAGACATGCTTTCAAGGAGTGCGGAGATCCGAGCTCAGGCCTCTGCAGCTGCCCTGGCTACTCCCAGACTCCAGCCCTGCTGTGCCCCAGCGTGTTCTCTCTGCCCTCCCCCTTCCATGCCCACATAGAGCTGGTCCCCATCAGGTGCAGCCCTGTGGCTTCCCATCACCAGAGGCGGATCTGAAGAGAGAGCAGCTGGGAGGGGTGCGGAGGGGAGGGACAACACTCTGGCTGCATGACAGGACTAACCAACCAGCACCCTCTGGGCCAGCACCTGACTAGAAGGTTCCTCAAAGGGACAGTCACCTCAGCCACTGCCCTGAGCCCTGCCCATCTTGACCAGGAGCACTCCGAGTCATGAGGTGGGCACCCAGTGGACAGGGCAAGCCACAGGGGCTGTCTGTGAGACAGTGGTGAGGGGACAGGAGGCCTCAGGCCTTGTGGGGGTCACAATGGACAAGTTCCGGATGATCTTCCAGTTCCTACAGTCCAACCAGGAGTCCTTCATGAACGGCATCTGTGGCATCATGGCTCTGGCCAGCGCTCAGATGTACTCGGCCTTCGACTTCAACTGCCCGTGCCTGCCAGGCTACAACGCAGCCTACAGCGCTGGCATCCTGCTGGCACCACCTCTGGTGCTCTTTCTGCTGGGCCTGGTCCTGAACAACAATGTCTCCATGCTGGCCGAGGAGTGGAAGCGGCCGCCGGGCAGCCGGGCCAAGGACCCCGCGGTGCTGCGCTACATGTTCTGCTCCATGGCCCAGCGCGCCCTCATCGCGCCCGTCGTCTGGGTGGCCGTCACGCTGCTGGACGGCAAGTGCTTCCTCTGTGCCTTCTGCACTGCTGTGCCTGTGGCTGCGCTGGGCAACGGCAGCCTGGCACCCGGCCTGACGCCCCCTGAGCTCGCCCGCCTGCTGGCCCGAGTGCCCTGCCCTGAGATCTATGACGGGGACTGGCTGCTGGCCCGTGAGGTGGCCGTGCGTTACCTGCGCTGCATCTCTCAGGTGAGGTGGCCCGATGACTCAGACTCAGATTCTCCTCACAGATAAAGTAACTATGCCCCAGCCCTGAGAGTGGGGCTTCCTTAGGGCACCCCTAGGAGACTGGAGGCTCCTGGACAGGGCTGGGTCTCCCCACTCCCACCCCAGTGGAACTCTTGAGGCCGGGCTTGTTTTTCTACCTCAGATGGGACTTCTGAAGGCCAGGCAGGTCTCTTCTCTCAGAGAGGCCCCCTGAGGAAAGTACTGAGTGTCCCTCAGAGCTTTCCCTGTCCTGAGGCCCCCAGAGCTGGCCCCGCATCCTCAGTCCAGTGTGCAGAGCTTGGAAACCTGGGAGAATTTGCATCCTTCTCCCCTCCAGGCCTCGGCAGTGGTGAGACTGGTGGATGGTGGGGCCATTTGGGTACATTTCCCTGGCAAATGCTTCCAGCTGGAAGGTCCTTGCTTGCTGACTGGGAGCTGAGGGTCCAGGTGGCCTGAGAGCAAGGATGTGGGTCAGGGGACATGACCAAAGCCAGAGTGGGAGGCCTTAAATCCAGATCCAGGGCCTCCCCACCCCACTCCCCTGTACTCTGACCTCCCCAAGACCTCACTTGTCTGAGCCTTTTCAGCTGTTTCGTGCAGCATGAGAAAAACAACTAAGGAAGGCAACATACAGCCGTGGAGAGTCAGGGGCAGACAAGGGTAGGGGCCAGGGCCTTGACCTGCTCTCCAAGGGCCAGAGAAACGTGTACAGTCTATTTTAGCAAGTTCATACTCTCTTCAGACCAGGTCTCTGTCATTCCCGCCCCCCCTTGAAGCTCTATGTGGACTTCATCCCCAGGGCAGTTAACACCTAATCTGTTTCTCCCTCACTTCCACCTCCTCTCCTACAGGGCACACGCCCCATGCCCCCAGGCCTCAGCTCTGAGAAGCTGACACTCCACTTGACCTTATAATGATAAAATCTGCAACTGCCAGGGAGCTCTGGTGGCCTAGTGGCAAGAAGTTGCACTGCAATCCCAGAGGCGTGCAGTTCAAAGCCACCAGATTCTCTACTGGAGAAAGAGGGGCAATGTCCTCCTATGCTGATCAGCTGTTGTTGGATCAGATTTGATGGTACACACACACACAAAAAAAAATAATTAAAACATAAAATTTTAAATCTGCAATTGTCCCCAAAGGTCACAGGCTGCCCAATACATTTCATTTGACTTGTAGTGGCATTCAACTTTAGAATTAGTTGACACATCTGAAAACCAAAAAATGCCATATAAAAATCACATTTCCAGCTTTCCTTGAAACATTGAAAGTTCAGTGTCCCACATACACACCATGCCCACCTTTCCTCATGGAATTTCCTAGAGGTAGATGGATTAGACTTAGATGGTAGACTTAGATGGATTATCCACTCTCAAGTTCCCCACTGGTAGTCTGTTCCATCTTCACCCATCTGACACCCTCCTCAAAAACCCTGCTGGGGCCAAACACTTACCCTTCTCTACAGATGGGGGCTGGTGCTGGAATGAGGCTTAGAGCCTCTCTGCCCACAGCTGTTGGCAGGGCGGAGTTAGACCATTTGAGCCTGGAGTCCTTAGCACCACCTCTGAAGGCCCACCCTAGAGGCCAGCTCAGATAATTGTCGTTGTTGTTGTTGTTGTTGTTGTTGTATGCTGTCAAGTATGATTCATAGCCACCCTTTGAACAAAAGATCTGAATCCTGTTCTATCCTGCACCATCCTCAACACTTCCTGTCACACGAGATAGTGCCAGGAGCCAAAATCAAGGAAGCCTTCCCGAAGGAAGAGGCATAGTCAGCAGGGACCTGTTAGCATCATAACGTCTAATGGTTATTGTGCAAGCCCTGCACCAGGCCATGTACATTATCACTTTTAGACTTGGTCTCAAGCAGGTCACGAGATCACGAGGATGGGATAAGATAGGGCCTGGTTCTGATCTATTGTTCTTATGGTTGCTATGAGATGTAGTCGACTTTACAGCACCTAACAACATGAGAGAGACACTATCAATCTTCCCATTCCACCTGTGGGAAAATTGAGGCTTTTCACACAGGCTCTCCTCTCCATGTGGTGGGCACATCTACACCCAATTTACAGACAAGGAAATAGAAGACAAGGGGAGAAGCCACTTGCCTAGTCAGTGCCCTTCTCCCTTGGGGCCTGGGGGCTCCGATCAAGTACAAGAGGTGCAAAGGCAGTGGCTGCTGACTCCTTCCTATGCTCCACAGGCACTGGGCTGGTCCTTCGTGCTGCTGACCACGCTGCTGGCCTTCGTGGTGCGTTCCGTGCGGCCCTGCTTCACACAGGCTGCCTTCCTCAAGAGCAAGTACTGGTCCCACTATATAGACATCGAACGCAAGCTCTTTGATGAGACATGCACGGAGCACGCCAAGGCCTTCGCCAAGGTCTGCATCCAACAGTTCTTTGAGGCTATGAACCAGGACCTGGAGCTGGGTCACACCCACGGGGTGCTGTCCCCGGCCACTGCTGCCCCAGCCTCTCCCGAGGGTGTCACAGAGGAGAGGGAGAAGCTGCGTGGCATCACTGATCAAGGCACTGTCAACAAGCTGCTCACCAACTGGCACAAATGCAAGCCGCCATTGAGGCTGGGCCAGGATGCGCCACTGATGGGCAATGGCTGGGCTGGGGAAGGACCCCGGCCCCCACGCAGGGAGGTGGCCACCTACTTCAGCAAAGTGTGAGCCTGAAGAGGCAGGAGTGAGGGTCTGAACTCACAGCCCCTCAAACCTCCAGATAGAAGCAGACAGGAAAACTAAAGTTGTAGGTCCTGGTCCCTGGAGTAGACCAGCCAGGCCCACCCATCTGAGGCCTGGAATTTGGACCCAGACCCTGTGAGCCTGGCTGGTGCCATGACAAGAAGATCAAGAGCAGTATTAGAAGGGCTCAGGACTGAATTAAGGGCTACAGGGAGCAGTGGTTCCCACCGGTGCAACTGAGCCACGAGTCTCATCCCTGATGCACAATCTCCACTCAAATTCGAGGAGGGTCCCTGTCTCAGTGTTCACTCTTGTCTGTGACTTTTTAGAAGCCAGTTCCATTGCATTCAGGGCTCAGAGACTGGAAGAGCTTACAACCCTTAAATGACGTGTGAACCTCCGAGTTGGACCTGCGTGTGCTGAGTGAAGCAGAGCAGCCTAGACAGCAGATGAGCTATCAGGACATAGCATATGGTCTCACCTGGCGTGAATACCTTGGGGGGACAGGTAATAGGAGACAAGATGCTGGAGGCAAGGTCCACCCCATAGAAGTCAGAGAGTGTGCTCATCATAGTGGTCCCTTGATGACTGTTGAGGTGGACTGTATTTTTTTAGTGTCACACATAAAAGGGTCCTCAATGCAGGGAAAGTTGAGCAAGGGGTCCCTGAAGCTCATCCTAGTGGTCCCTCACATCCAGGTAGCTAGCTGTCACAGGGAAGAATCAGACCATCTGCAGGGCTTGAACAGGTAGAAATAGAAGCTAATACTTCCTCCTCTCCCCTGAGGAGGGGACTCAGGTGTTCAGGGGCTCTGCCCTAAAGTAGGGGTAAAGGTAGGGGGCTGGGAGGGGAGCCACCTGCAATGGAAACAGCATAGGCAGCTGAGTAAAACAGATCAGGGCCAAGTGCTTGTTCTACCACTTGCAAACGGGGTCTGGTCTACAGGCCAATGGTTGCATTTTCTATGCCTCAGTTTCCTCATCTGTGAAATGGGGATGGGGCGCCTATCTCATAGGGTTGCTGTGAATATTAAATGAGTGAAGCGCATAAAAGCATGTGACACTTAGCTGGTGGCTGACAGGTTTGATGATTTCTGAGCTGGAAGGCTTCCTTCCTCCCTCGGGGGTGGGGTGGGGGGACAGGCAGACAAGGAGAACAGTGGAGAAGGAAGCCATTTAGGCCATGTTTGTCCAGGAGAAAATTGAGGCCAGGCGGATTTTTGACACCCCTCCTTGGATGACACAACGCTGCTTACTGAAACTAAGGAGGACCTGAAG